TGGGGGGTGCCCAGGTGACATTTGGGGGTTTCTGGGGGGTTCAGGTGACACTTGGGGGGTCTCAGGTGACACTGGGGGTGCCCAGGTGACATTTTGGGTGCCCAGGTGACATTTGTGGGGGGGTCCCCAGCCCCGCCCCGCCCCCAGCAGTGACGTCACGCTCGGCGCCCAATCAGGTTTATTTACAGCGGGGGTGGGGGAGGGGCGGGAACCCCCGGGGGGGTCCCCAAGGCACTGAGGGGGGAGGGGCGGCGTCGCTGACGTCACCGCGAGCCGTGACGTCATCTCCGCGCCGGCCCCGCCCCCCCGGGGTGGGCGTGGTCAGTGGCGCGCGCGCGCGATGGCCACGCCCAGCAGCCCGGCCACGCCCACGACCACGCCCCCCACGATGGCCGCGCCCACCAGCCCGTCTGGGGGGACGGACGGACAGGGGGACAGCGGGATGGACAGACGGACAGACGGACACCGGGACGGACAGGGGGACAGCGGGATGGACAGACGGACAGACGGACACAGGGATGGACAGGGGGACAGCGGGATGGACAGACGGACACCGAGGGACAGACGGACACCAAGGGACAGGGGGACAGCGGGATGGACAGACGGACACCGAGGGACAGACGGACACCGGGATGGACAGAGGGACACCGAGGGACAGGGGGACACCGGGATGGACAGAGGGACACAGGGATGGACAGGGGGACACCGAGGGACAGACGGACACAGGGATGGACAGGGGGACAGAGGGATGGACAGACGGACACCGAGGGACGGGGGGACACCGGGATGGACAGACGGACACCAAGGGACAGGGGGACACCGGGATGGACAGAGGGACACAGGGATGGACAGGGGGACACCGAGGGACAGACGGACACAGGGATGGACAGGGGGACAGCGGGATGGACAGACGGACACCGAGGGACAGATGGACACCGAGGGATGGGGGGACATCGGGATGGACAGACGGACACCGAGGGACAGGGGGACACCGGGATGGACAGGGGGACACAGGGATGGACAGGGGGATGGACAGAGGGACAGGGGGACACAGAGGGACAGAGGGACACCGAGGGACACGGGGAGGGACAGACGGACAGAGGGACAGGGGGACAGAGGGGACACGTCACTACTTGGGGGGACATTTGGCACCTCCGTGTCCCCTCAGTGTCACCCTCCCGTGTCCCCCCTTATCACACAGAGCCCCCAGTGTCCCCAATGTCCCCAATGTCCCCAGTGTCCCCAGTGTCCCCTGGATGTCACCAAGACCAATGTCCCCAATGTTCTTGCAATGTCCCCAGCCCCACAATCCCCCCAATGTCCCCAATGTCCCCAATGTCCCCAATGTCCCCACTGTCCCTAATCCCCCCACTGTCCCCACTGTCCCCAATGTCCCCATAACCCCCCCAATGTCCCCCCAGTGTCCCCCCTGTCCCCCCTGTCCCCTCACCTCTCCTCAGTTGGTTCCTGACGCGGCCCCGCAGCCGCTGCACCTGCGCGTTCTGCGGCTCGGCCGCCAGGAGGCGCTCCAGGAGCTCCAGCGAGCGCTCGTACTCCTGCGGGGACAGGGGTGGCACCTGTGTCACCTGGGTGTCACCTGGGTCACCTCCCTGTGTCACCTGGGTGTCACCTGTGTCACCTCCCTGGGTCACCTGTGTCACCTGTGTCACCCCCCTGTCCCCCCATCCCTGCTCCAGGAGCTCCAGCGAGCGCTCGTACTCCTGCGGGGACAGGGGGGGCACCTGGGTGTCACCTGGGTGTCACCTGGGTCACCTCCCTGTGTCACCTGGGTGTCACCTGTGTCACATGGGTGTCACCTGGGTGTCACCTGTGTCACCTCCCTGGGTCACCTGGGTGTCACCTGTGCCACCTGCGTCACCTCCACGTGTCACTTCTGTTACCTGTGTGACTCTCCTGTCACCTGTGTCCCCTCCCTGTCCCCCCATCCCTGCTCCAGGTGTCACCCCAGAGCTCTCTCGCCCCTGTGGGGACATTTGGGGACAGTCCCTGTGTCCCCCCAATGTCCCCAAAACCCCCCAAAACCCCAAAATGTCCCCATTGTCCCCAATGTCCCCAATCCCCCCAATGTCCCCAATCCCCCCAATGTCCCCAAATGTCCCCAATGTCCCCGATGTCCCCTCGTTGTCCCCTCGCTGTCCCGGTGCCACCTTGAGCCGGTAGTAGCCCAGGGCCAGGTAGAAGAGGACGTCGCGCTGCTCCTGCGGGGGCGTCTCGGGGAGCAGCTCTGGAACCCCAAAACCAGAGAGTCACCCCAAAAGTGACCCCGAAACTCCAGAGGCACCCCAAAACTGACCCCGAACCCCAAAACTGACCCCAAAACCAGAGTCACCCCAAAAGTGACCCTGAAACTCCAGAGTCACCCCAAAAGTGACCCCGAACCCCAAAACTGACCCCAAATCCCGGAGAGTCACCCCAAAAATGACCCCAAACCCCAAAACTGACCCCAAATCCAGGAGAGTCACCCCAAAAATGACCCCAAAATCCAGAGAGTTACCCCAAAACTGACCCCAAAACCCAGAGAGTCACCCCAAAACTGACCCTGAACCCCAAGGAGTGACCCCAAAACCAGAGAGTCACCCCAAAAGAGACCCCAAAACCCGGAGTCACCCCAAAACTGACCCCAAACCACAGAGAGTCACCCCAAAACCCCAAAACTGACTCAAAACCATGGAGAGTCACCCCAAAACCGCCCCAAAACCCCAAAGACTCACCCCAAAATTGCCCCAAAACCCCATAAAGTGACCCCAAAACTGCCTCAAAACCCAAAAATACCAAAAAGGGACCCCAAAACTGCCCCAAAACCTCAGAGTGACCCCAAAACTGACCCTGACCCCCAGAGGATCACCCCAAAACTGACCCAGAACCCCAAAACTGCCCCAAACCCCAAAGAGTGACCCCAAAACCCCAAAGAGTGACCCCAAAACTGACCCCAAACCACAGAGAGAGACTCCAAAACTGCCCCAAAACCCAAATTTGCCCCAAAACCGCAAGGAGTGACCCCAAAAACGACCCAAAACCACAGAGAGTGACCCCAAAACTGCCCCAAAACCCCGGAGAGTCACCCCAAAACTGACCCAGAATCCCAAATTTGCCCCAAAATCCCAAGGAGTGACCTCAAAATTGCCCCAAAACCCCAAAACTGCCCCAAAACCCCAAAACTGCCCCAAAACCCCAAGGAGTGACCCCAAAACTGACCCCAAAACCCAAATTTGCCCCAAAATCTCGAAGAGTGACCCCAAAACTTCCAAGGAGTGACCCCAAAACTGCCCCAAAACCCCAGAGAGTCACCCCAAAACTGACCCAGAACCCAAATTTGGGTTTTGGCCACGCCCCGGGCCGTGTCCTGCCGGTACCGGTACCGGTACTGACCCGAGAGCAGCGCCGGCCCCGGGCCGTGTCCTGCCGGTACCGGTACCGGTACTGACCCTCACCTGAGAGCAGCGCCGGCCCCGGGCCGTGTCCTGCC